CCCGCAGAAGCTTTTATTTCATGCGGGTCTTCCACCATTCGATCGAGTTACTCTGCTGGCAATGGTTATTTATTCATCCATCGGTTGCATCCATTCAAATCGGTTGCATCAACTCAATGCTCTCTGCATTCTTGTTTTTTTTAGCTTGGCAAGCCAATGAGTTGAAGGATTTTTATCTTTGGACACAAACTCGTCCATTGAATATTGATTTCAGCTTCTGCTAGGTACTCGGCTGGTGTAATGATATTAATCAATTTGCCTTTTCGTACCCATTGGATTGGGATTTGTTTCCCGTTGTTTCTACAGCACATTCATCATTTGTCCTCGACGGGCCTGAGTTGGTGCACCATTAATTTAGCAACCTCCACATACTATTGTTGGGTCCCACCTTCGTTGACTTGCACCGTTGTTTAGAATGATTCTTATCTTATTGATAATGTGACCGATACTATATGGATTAGTAGCCACCCCTTGCCCGATCCTTCCTTATCTGCAAGTTAAATATTGACTTCCAAAACAAGTGATAAGAAAGCAAAGTAATTAAACACAGAAAAGAACAAGTCTTCTTCTGCAAGTGTTAGAGGAATAAGAGTGTTCCCAGGGCAGCTGCCAATGAATTTTTCGCGAACACGGTGTGTATCCACCTGCCAGGTTTACCAAAGCTGGAAAGGCCATAATTGTAAAATAGATCATAGCAGTGATCATAGCAGTTTTAATTATCTGCTGCTGTAAGAAATCCATCCAAATCGCCGGTAACTTCTTGCCATTGAGATCCATCTCTGAAGATGCTATTAGTTGTGACATAAAAAATCACGTCAGTGACCGTGATTAGGTCTAGGAGAACATGGTAGCGGCTATTGTAGTTTCTCCGACTTCGGTGTCGAACTCAAATTTGTGCAGAGATGTAATCCAGCAATTAAAATATTGCAAGTTACTATGTTTATAACAAATCCTGGATATTAAATCTTGGATCCCTGCATCATTGGAATCTTGCAAGCTTTCATGGGCCCCACGTCGAGGTGGATGGATTATGCAAAATATTGATATCCTTTCCTTATTTGATCATATCATATGAATTGAAAGGAAATAAATAAAATCAAATGAAATCAAATTAAAGTCGAAGGGGTTACTTCCTTTTTGGAATGCTGATTGCCTTGCGCCATGATGCATTTAATGGCTCATTCCGTGTTATTCCATACTCGAATCCGAGATGATGCTAGCATACTTTGGTGTATGATGCGCGGGGCTCACACCACCTGTTTGCTTTTTTCTTGCACCAAAACCAATGCTCAGTAACAGAGCTTGAAGAAGACAATCAACGATTGATTTAATTCAATCAGCAATCAGTGCTAATTATCCGTAATCAACAATTATTTTAATTCAATGTAATAATTGACCAACGACAATCAGTAATTAATAATAATTGATCAGCAATAATTTCATAATAAATACGATATTATTGACATTTTGATTCAATGTAATAATTAATCAGCAACAATCAACAATCAATAATTAATCAGCAATAATTTCATAATAAATATGACATTATGGACATTACCGATATTATTCGACATTCTGAATTCAAACTGGTCTTTTTCTCACAGTAACTTTGAATCCAGATATCCCGGCGAACAGGAATTGATATCACCGAACTCAGACTTGGCCCAATACGGACTCAAGCTTGTGCATGCAATCATGCTACCACTAGCCGTTCTCGGCTCAAGGAAAAGATTAGCAAATTCAAAGAAACTCTTATCTTTTGCAGCAGCATTTTTGCAATATCCACCGCTGTTACTAGTATTTATAAGGCTTATGTCTTCGAGGATCTCAACAATGGAAAAGATTATCCCTGCAACAATGGATATTTTCCTCCAATATTTAAAAAAGGTGGATCCTTTTCTTGAACAATATTTAAAAAAGAATTGGATCCTTTTCTAAAATATTGATATAAAATATTAAAGAGGTGCATCCTTTTCTAAAATATTTAAAAGGTGGATCCTTTTTTAACGCAAATTAAGACTAGAAAAAGGGAGGAAACTTAGCTTTTGTTCTTTGGTTGATTTGCTTCCTTTTTTGTTAGACCCGATCTCAGCCACGGTAAGGGTCTCAGGGTCTCGGTTTCCATCTCGGTCTCCATTTTGATCTCGGCCATGATCTCGACAATGGTGGTGGTGGTCATAATTTCGATCTCAGCACCAGTCTCAATTTATATCTCGACTTCTGCTTGCTAAAGCAACCCCCCGATCTTGAAAGGTTGATACATTTCATATTTGAATTTTGCACCCATCGTATTAGGATTTGGATGTGGCGGCGGCTGCTGCGCTTTCACCACTATTGGGGTGGGAATAGAATTTTTTCGTTTCCCACAGACAGCGCCAATGTTCTGTCTGAAGACAGAGATGTCCAGTCGGTGGCTGGTATATTTTATGTAGGATCTAGGTGCCCTCTCTCAAGTATCTATGAATGAGATGCCCTTGAGGGTAGGCTAATCACTGTGCACAATAATAATCGATATGATCAAGGCGTGGGGTGTGTGCACAGTGACAAGCTAAGAGAGAGGGTTTAGAGAGTGTCCGTACCTTATTGGTTTAACCCTGTATTTATAGATGGGTTACCTGAAGGAGTGTAATTCTGGGCCTCTTAGGAATATTGGGGGCCCAAGTCCAACTGCTTAGCTGTCTGGATAGGATTGTCATCAATAAGAGATTCCCTTCCTTTTGTGTTGTCCTTTATTGGTCCTTCTAGAATACGGGCCTTTGTGAGGTCCATAACAGGTATAATTCTTAATTTTAAACTCAAGTGTGCATGTACACACCGAACAATGCTATACAAGGAGAAAATTTTAATTAGAATTTTGATAAAGGATGGTTGCCATTAGGGTTGATAAAAATGAACTAATTCGTAGGGTTGGTTTATAACCCGCCAAAAATGAGCAGGGTTGGGTTGGCAAAAATGAGCTGTCAACTCGAGCAAACCCAACTCGAGCCAGCTCGTAAAAAAATGAGCAAACCCACGGGTCAAACGAGCCAGCTCGCGGGTTGAATTTTTTTTATAAAAAATACAAAATATAATATACAAAAATGGACAAAACTCACATATGCTATCATAATTTTTTTTCCTTCTCTAAACCTAAGTCCCTAATCTTCTCACATCCCTACCATTTTTATAGTGTTAGGTTGTGGTGACTCTGTTTGGTTCAAATATCTTACCCAGTTGGTAGCAAGTGGTTCTGACTATTTCTTGATCTTGATGTAAATTTGTTATGAAGAAAATTCGAAACTAAAATATTTTGCTTTTATTTCTCATTTTGTAACCCTTTGTTTAAGCTAATGGAAGCCACATAGCTGGTGCATTAATACTACAGGGTCATTTAAATAGGCTGAAAACGAGCCAACCCGCGAGCAATTTTCGAGCTAACCGAGAGCCAATTTTCGAGCCAACTCGCGAGCTATTTTTTCAAGCCAACCCACGAGCCATATTTTTGAGCCAACCCTAACCCGACTCAGGTCGGGTTGAGTTGAGTTTTCTAGCTCTCTTTTTTTCGGACTATCTTAATCCAGCTCGTTTTTTTCGAGTTGAATGCGATTTGGACTATGTTGAATGCGGGTTGGGCCGTTTTGCCAAGTTGTAATGCCAACTGATTCTAGAAAAAAAAAACACTTTAAGCTGTATAACATTTTCCAAATCCCGAACAAGCATTTCAGACAAACAATCACAGAATTTTTGTGGGCTTTCTACACTCTATATATGTATATATATATATATAGATAATAGAATTCGGGTTGGTTTTCCGTTTTTATGCACAACAATATAAAAAAAAATAAAATAAAATAAAAATCTAGCAACGTGATTCTTTCAACTGAGTTTTGTTTATTTCTCTAACTGCACAAGTCATTTAGGAATCCGATACCATTTAAGTGCTCCTTTGAAAACCCTCATACTGGTTTGTTTTTCTGTATTACGCCAAGTGTTGCTCGAGATACAAAAGCGTTGTACTACTTGGTTTCGAGTCTAATAGGTGGAAAGTGGGAAGTGGGAACCGATCCTTAGATTCCCAACACTCACGTTCCATGTAAAATTAAGAAAAAAGCTCTCATAATAGTCTCAGTTAAGAATCTCAATTAACAAGATTACCTTCTGTAAATACTATTGGTTTCCACATATACTATTGGTTTCCTCAACAATGACAATTCAAACATCCCCCCCCCCCCCCCCCCCTTATATTATTTATAGGATCATCAATTATTCAATTAATCTTATTTGAGAAAGGTTATATTGATAAATTTTTTGTTTACTATTCTGCCTTGAGCAGATCTGTCCGACCTACGGTCAGGTCTTTGATATTGGATTTAGAGCTTTCTCTCTAGATATCTATGAATTAGGTATCTTGGGGACAACAGATCGCAGATCGCTACACACTATATGATGGCCTTAACCAGAGGGGTGTGTGTGTGTGCACTGTCGTGTTTGAATGAAATAGGGTTCGAGAGATCAGTCATACCTATGGTCTTTAATCTTATTTATAGAGCTTACTTCTGGGCTGATGTTGGTTGGGCTTCTTGCTACTGTGAGCCTTTCTCTGGTCCATAACATTTACAAACTCTTACAAATTACACTATATCTTACGGTTAGATTTACGATAAGATTTCACTCAAGATTATCTTAACAGTTTAAAAAAATTTATAAATATAACTTTTCCCCGTCTGATTGGAACAAGAACACATGGACGGCAAAATTCTCCAACTCGAATTTGACTAACTAAGTTGGAACAACACGTGCTTTGTGGTTTAGTTCCTTGTCTTTCAATCTTTCCTTTTCACACCGGGCTAAACCCTATAAAACCAGCTTCTGCACCTCTTACAACTTACACTTAACCCACAATCTTGTGAGCTTAAACCGTTTGAGAAACAAACACCACCACCAGGAGCCTAGGCCTTCCATTACTGAATCAAATCCTCCCTTCTTGAAAACAAAAAAATTACTGCTATCCCTCTACATCGATGGGGAATGAAAACTCAGCAATATCAAACAAACATGGTGGCGAGGCACTGAAGGTTGTTTCAACTGAACCATATGTTCCAAGGCAAAGGAAACGCTCAACAAAGGCAAAGATGGTAGGTGTTGGGGAGGACTCAAAGCAACATGGTAAGAAACCACTACATAGGGAAGACACTTTCACCAACTACATTAAACGTGCTAAGTATAAAATCAGAAGCTTGTCAAACATTGGTGGCCGTGAGGAGCAGAGCAACCCTGCACCAGATGAGGCTTATGGCACCAACAAGAAGGAAAACGAAACAGACCAGTTTTCAAATTTTATTCATCAAGCTAAGAATAAGTTGAGAACTGTGTCAAAAATTGGAAAGAATGGTTCCTTCAAAAGAGGGTAAGACCTTGAAGGTTTAACCGGAGAGCCTCAGATGATGTAGATTAGCAATGTTGGTGACTTGTGCTGGTGATGTTTTGTGCATCTAATCTTAGTTGTTGAGTGGAGTGTGTTAAAATAAGGAGAAATTCCTTTGTGTTTCTCAAGCAAGAAGTTTGTTTTATGGGTTTTATTAATATACTTTTATATAAGATAGGTATCTTATGTTGTAGAGAGAAACTAAGTGGATTCCACTATTACAAGAAAAAAAAAAGAAAAAAAAATAAGGTACGGAAATAGAAGTGAAAGAAAATGAAATAAGTTAGCTTATGTAAAAGGAAAGTAATATTTCTCTTGTTTTATTCTGTATCAATGAATGTGCATCACTTTTATGTATAATGTTAAACTAGAATTAAAATAAAAGACAGTGATAAATTGGGTACTGAAGTAAATACAAATTTATTAGTTTTGTGAAACTGCCCTTGCTACGAGTGCAAATAAGAATTTCAAAAAAAAAAAAAAAGGCCCTACTAAGCCATGCAAGCATATACTTTTTTTTTTTTTTTTATAACAGCATATACTTTTATTTTAATGATACCACATTTCTACGAAGTATACTTTGAAGTTTTGGCATTGATTTCTATTTAGTATTTACGTTTTGATTCACCCTGTTTCTTTATCTTTAATTTGAATTTATCAAACTTTAAATATAAATTTTTCGTAGTGTTCAGTTGAAAGTTGTTCTGGACTAAATTATCAGGTTCCATTTCAAGCCCAATATTAAATCTTCACGGCAGAACAAAAGGCCACTATCATATGGTATTTACATAATCATAGCAAATAATTACTTTATTAATTAATTATTAATTTTCAATAAATTATAATTGTTAGATTAACGGAAATTAACGATTAAAATGTAGTTGCAAGAGATTATAAACGAAAATAGGTTGTAAGTATATCTTTTCTCTTACATAATCATAGCAAATAATTACTTTAGGCAAAATATTCCCCCTTATTTTAAGTTTATTAGAGTTTAAGTTAGTATTTATTCATTTGACCAAAAAAAAAGTTAGTATTTATTCCTTAGTAAATTAGACATTCTTATTTATAAACAAACCGGAATTTCTAACACATACAATACACATGCCAAATTACCCAGGTAATGAATGTAAGAATATAACCTACGATGCGCCTTATGAAGCCCAGAGATAATACTGTGGTCGATTTAAAGATTCATTTCATGTCCTCCAAGAGAAAACTACCACGAACGTTAGCACTCTACGGATAATCTGAATTGGGCTTTACGGCAAAGTAAAAACCGTGTTTTCGATGGTATTTATGGGTCCTCATGAAGTTTATGGGCCTAATGTGGCCCTTTCAAGATATTTGATGCTTTTCTTCTAGATTTCTTTTTGATTACTCATTTGGATAAACAAGAGTAGACTGCCATTTTGGAAACAGAGAAAGAAAATGAAGCTGTATATGTATTGTCATTACATTTAATTTACTATATATTTTACTTAACACATAGCAGCAATGGTTATGAGAATCGTGTGAATTTTATCAATTTAATTATCATCTAATAAATTCTTTGTGACACATTTCATATGAACATCATCTCAGGTTATGATCCTAAGAAAAAGAAAGGAAACTATGTTCTTTATATATATATATATATATATATATATATATATATATATATATATATATATATATATGTTGGGTTGGAAAATATCGGTTCCCTCAAGCTCGGCTCATGGGCCTTCTTTCTTTGCGAAATTAGTCAGCAAGATCCTGATCTCGGATTTCAGCAATATCTCGGTCTGAACTTCACCAGATCGGACAGCGTAGCGGAAAATCAAAAACAAACAGGAGAGAGAAAAGAAGGAGAGAGAGAGAGGGAGAGAGAGAACACAAACAGTTTTTAACGTGAGAAAACCTTCTCCAATAAAGAAGTAAAAACCCACATGACCTAGTCCAGTTCAAAAATCCACTATGAAAATAATGGTTACTAAGAATTAAATTCACCAATGTGGTGGTTAACTCAACCTCTCCAACAATGGTAATAATCAAACTTCCCTAGAAATGTTTCACTCAAACTCTCTAGAAATCTCTCAAATACAAAGCATAAAACTTTGCTCAAATCTCTCAAATAATTTTCTCTCAAATTTTTCTCTCTCAATCTCTAACCTAGCATCCACCCACAACTAATGAATATATAGAGGAGGTGAGATCTAGGATTTAGGGTTTTTAGGAAACCCCTCAATGGGCTTGGGCTTAGCATTGAAGGAGGAAGCCCAACAAATCTCCCCCTCAGACTTCAGTGCGTCAGCTTCAGCATCAACCCGACTCCTTCACAGCAGTCTTAAAATTTCCTTGTTGGAACCGGCTTTGTCATCATGCCGAACCAATTATGGTCAGTGTGCACTTTGACGAGTTCGAGCTCTCCACCTTCCACCACATCCCGAATCCAGTGATACATCACATCAATATGCTTAGTTCGGGAGTGATAGGTCGAATTCTTCGCAAGATGGATTGCGCTTTGATTGTCACAACCCAGTTGGTACTTGTCTTGATCATGGTCGAGTTCCATGAGGAACTTCTTCATCCACAGCATCTCTTTTCTTGCTTCAGTCGCGGCAATATACTCAGCCTCAGTTGTCGATAGTGCAACACATTTTTGAAGTCTTGATTGCCAAGAGGAAGCTCCTCCGGCAAATCTCATCATGTATCCCGTCGTCGATTTCCTCGAGTCGGAATCTCCCCCTAAATCAGAATCTGAGTAGCCTTGCAACTCAGCTTTGCCTTCTCTAAATTGGAGGCATATGTTGGTCGTACCTCGGAGGTACTTGAAGATCCACTTCACTGCTTCCCAGTGCTCTTTGCCGGGGTTTGACAGATACCGGCCTACCATTCCAACAGCATACGCCAAGTCGGGTCTAGTGCAAATCATTGCATACATCAAGCTTCCGACGGCGGATTGGTACGGGACCTTCATCATCTCGTCTTTGTCTTCATCAGATTTCGGACTTTGCTTCTGGTTCAGCTTTATGTGTCCGGTTAAGGGGGTGCTCACTGATTTGGCTTTGTCCAAGCTGAATCTCTTCAGAATCTTCTCAATATACTTCTTTTGACTCAGCCACAGTAGCTTCTTTTGTCTATCTCGGATAATCTTGATTCCGAGAACCTGCTTTGCAGGGCCGATGTTCTTCATTGCGAAAAACGAGCTCAATGCCTTTTTCCGGGCGGCTATCCTCGATTTATCTTTCCTTACAATAAGCATGTCGTCAATATATAACAACAAAATCAAAAAATCTCTGGTCTCATACCTCTTCACAAATACGCAGTGGTCGACTTCTGTTTTCTCAAACTTGTGATCAGTCATGAATGATTCAAATTTCTTGTACCACTGTCGAGGTGCTTGCTTCAAGCCAAAGAGACTCTTTTTCAACCAACATACCAAGTCTTCTTGGTGTTAAGCTCGGAACCCTTCAGGTTGCTTCATATATATTTCTTCTTCTAAATCACTGTGAAGAAATGTCGTCTTCACGTCCATTTGTTCTACCTCGAGGTCCATCGAAGCCGTTATTGCTAACACGGTTCGGACCGAGATTATTTTCACCACAGGAGAAAAATCTCCTGAAAATCTACACCTTTCTTCTGATTGCAGCCTTTCACTACAATCTTGGCTTTTGCCCGCTCTTTTCATTCTTAATCTTGTAGACCTATTTATTTTTCAGAGCTCGTCTTCCTTCAGGCAACTCAGTCTGCTCATAAGTCTGATTTTCGTGCAGAGACTTCATCTCGTCTTGCATTGCCTTTTCCCATTCATCTTTCTCTGAGCTCGTCACAGCCTTATCATAACTCTGAGGCTCACGTCTTCAGCAACAACAGTGTATTCATTAGATGGGTATCTTGTAGAGGGTCTTCTTTCTCGAGTTGGATATCTCGGCTGTTCTTCAGCTTGAGAACCCGGTTCATCATTTTCATCCCGGATCTCATCATCAACTCGGATCTCAGTATCTTGGTCATCATCAGCTGGTTGTTGTTCATCATTTTCTTCATATTCTTGATTTTCTCCCCCTGCTTCAGCTCGAACAGGAGGGATGGGTTCTTCACGTCTGACAGTAACTCGGACTTTGGGCTTCGAGATGTCATGAATGTTCTCATCTTCATGAAAGATCACATCTCGACTTCTCACTATCTTTTTATTGATTGGATCCCAAAGTCGGAACCCGAACTCACATCTCGGCGAACCAAGATAAATGCATTCTTTAGTCTTCGTATCAAGTTTAGCCCTTTCATCTTTAGGGATATGCAACAAAGCTCGGAATCCAAACACTTTCAGTTGATTATAGCCCGCTTTCTGACCTGTCCAGACTTCTTCTGGAATTTCTCCTTCAAGTGGCCGTGATGGTGAGAGGTTGATCAAGTCAACAGCAGTTTTGACGGCTTCTCCCTATAATGATTTCGGTAACCCGGCATTAGATAACATGCTTCGTACCTTCTCTTGAATTGCTTGGTTCATCCTCTCAGCCAGTCCATTCAACTGTGGAGTCTTGGGGGGCGTCTTCTCAAGTCGAATCCCGGCCACTCTGCAATAAGCATCAAAAGAGCCGCAATACTCACCACCATTGTCAGATCGGACCACCTTCAATTTCTTGCCAGTCTCTTTTTCAACCATAACATGGAATTCTTTAAAGAATTGGAGTACATGGTCTTTAGACTTCAACAAATATACCCATACTTTGCGGGAATGGTCATCAATAAATGAAACAAAATACTGAGCTCCTCCAAGGGATCTTTCTGACATGGAGCAAACATCAGTATGGACGAGGTCAAGAATATACCTGCGTCGTCTGGGTTGATCCGGTCTCACAAAAGAAACCTGGTGCTGCTTTCCAGCTAGGCAGTGCGTGCAACTCTCCAACGCTTGGCCTTTCAACCCGGTCAATGATCCTTTCTTGTTCAGGATCTGGAGCCCTTTCTCGCTCTTATGGCTGAGGCGCTTGTGCCGTAGCTCCA